CAAAGATCTGAGTCCAATCCTGGATTGGCCAGTAACCAGATGTGTGACTATGAGCAGGTAACTTCATTTATAAAATGAAAATCATATTAAATTATTTCTAAAGTTCCTTTTAGCTCTAACATTCATGATTGCATAATTTTCATTTCTTTAAAAAAATTAAAGGCAATTCCAACATAACATTGTGAGATGAAAGAGAGTAATACTGGACTAGGTTTACTGTAGAAAGATCTTGTCCAACACTACGACTTCAAGAATGACATTAAGTCAAAGAAGCTGTGAGGAATGGTGGAAAAATCCAAAATCATGAAAGTAATGAATGTTGAACAGATAAGAAATTTAAGAAAGAAGTTACTGAGAAACTATTATTTACACAGTTTAAAAAAAAAGAACAACAAAGCAGGCTCCTAAAACATTTTCCCCATCAAAATGGGCAGGACTGTATAATGGATAATTTGTTCCTACTTGGATGATGTCATCAAGCTAGGTTTAACTACTTTTAATAACTAGTACATTTCAGTCATCTCTCACTTTCTCCCACAGAAGATCAAATCAGCCTCTCAATGACCTACTCTTCATGAGTCATAATTTTTCTGTTTATGATTCAGAAAAATGTCTTCAGCCAGTATTTCCCAGACTGCTGTGGGTTTATTCCAAGAACCAATTTCATCTTCATTGGTTTCCTACAGGAAACCAGACCAACTTCCTATTATTTTATTTTCCTTACTTTTAGCATACCATGGCCCACATCAAATTAACTGGAAGTGAGAGTGACAGAAGACTTTATTCTGCACAAAGAGAAGCCAAAACAAACAATGCCCAGTCTAGAAGTCACGAATTCAAAATTAAATACAAAATGTGCTAATATTAGAACTTTCAAAAGAGCCCGAAACCAAATAATAAGAAATGCATTTCAATTAACCTTATTGCAAGTATTTCACTGTAAGAAAGAACTTTTGTTTAAAAACTATTGTCTACAAATACAATAAATCTTACAAAGCTGATTAATACAGAGAAATTAATTATAACGAACAAAACATGTATTTTCCATTCTAACCCCCTAACAAGCTGCTAGGAGAACAGGCAGACAACTGAAGCCCAAAGCACAGAGCCTTGGAGTGGTGGGGGAACAGAGCAACATCCCTCTAGCAACCTGGCAGTCGGCCATCACCAGCTGCCATCATGCCAGCCCCTACCCCGCACCCACTCTTTCCATGACTAAGAATCAATCTGACATTAGATCATAGCAGAAATAGTGGCATCGAACACGGCCTTTTAAAGGACAGTGGCTTGTACTCACACTATTCCTCTAAAACACTAGGAGTACCCGAGAAGTTTTTATTCTCACGGACTATGAGAAAGAGAAATATTTCTGAGTGTGAAAAATTTTGGTATTCCGTGAAGAATCTGAATGTGAAGAATCGGATTCTCCTTAGATACTTTCCATTCTCATCATTCCTGATTATAGGTACAGTTTTAGGCTTTAAAAGCTCATATAGTCATTAACTGGCAAGGAACAGGACTATTTTATATCAAATTCAAAAGGTGATATATTAAAGGAAGAAGGCCTAAGAAAAATGCATTTAAGGTACATATTACAGTATATGGATAAACCAAGAAACCTGAAACATTAGAGCAGTGGTTCTCAAAGTGAAGTCCCCAGACCAGGATCAGCATCACCTGGACACGTCCTAGAAATGGAAGTTCTCAGACCCCACTCTAGACCTAATGAATCAGAAATTCTGGGGAAGAGCCCAGCAACCTGCAGCTAATGCTGAAGTGAACCTTATCTATCATATTCTCTCTTCCTTACACCAGGAAATTTCTAGAAAAGAATCCACTCAATTTACACTTCCCTCACAATCCCTCAACTTCTAAACCCTATGCGCTCTGCTATCATATTGTTAAAATGCTCTTTTTAAAAGTCACAAATCATCTCTAACCTAACTGCCAAGGCCAATAATCTTTTCCTGGTCCTCACTCCCCTAGACTTATCTGAAGTATCTAGCACTGCTGACATCCCCTCATGCTTGAAATGGCCTAATTTTTTGACATCCATGACACAACTCTACCCTCCTGCCTCTCCATCTCCTACTCTCCTGTCATCAGTAACTACTCTTTCTCCTCCCACACTCTAAATACATGCCTGTCCTGTTCATTCTTCAGTCTTCTACGCCTCTTTTTTCCAACTGCTGCCTTAGCATCTCAAGAACTCCCAGAATGAATTTACATCTCTGTACCTCAAATCTCGCTCAAACCTCACAACATATTTTAAACTACCTCATGACCTGCTTTACCTGAATGTTCTTCAAGTACTGCCAGTAGAACGTATCCAAGAGGGAACTTCTCATTTCCCCTACCCAACTCCAACGGTCCCTCCTTGAATGCCTGTTTCTAGTATTATAGTATCTACCATCAGTTGTCTAGTCGCCTGGGCACTGGAGCATCACCTTCCCTCCGTCCTGGCTCCCATATCTTCTAAACAGAGGGGTCAGCCCTACCAGGCAACCTGTTTCATCCTCCTCATTCCCACTTCTAATGCCACATCTTTGTCCTACAGCTTCCTATCTCTTCTGAAGCCCTACCTCCAGACTCTTACCTGTAAAACTCATCTCTGAAACTATTTTTCCCCTGTTCAAAAACATACAGAGGCTGCCCCAACGTAACCCAACTGCCTACCTAGCCTTACCTCCCATTTCTCCTCAACAAACTTTTTGCTCAGCTAATCTAGAATGCTCATCATGTTGCAAACATGTCCCAAGTCTTCTCACTTCTGACTCTTGGCCTTACATTATTACCTCCCTTTCAACTACCAGTTCCCACTATGTCTGTAAATTTCCTCCCTAAACCTCCTCCTTGACACCAGGCATAATCTCCTCAAAGTGAAGTTCTCTCTCACCCTTCTCTAAAGACTCAAAGATATGAGCACCAGCCTCCATCACTTGCTACAAATTACCCCTATGAAAGGTGAGACCCTCCACAACAGAAGTGGGTTTTATACATCTTTGTGGCCTCCACTCTACCATGCATGTAAACATTTGTCAAAGGGCTAAATGACCTTACAAGCCAAAATTCATATTCAATTAAGCACTATTTCTGCCAATTAACTGGTCTTAATTAGAAGAAACAGGCAAAACACAATAAAAACAGTTAAATTTCACATACATAGTAACTCAGAAGGCATCAACTCAATCTCCTATGCTTTCTGGACTTACAGTACAACCACCCTAGACTGATAACCAGACACTATTAGGCTCACTGCAGGCAAGGAAAGTGTATCAGACCTTTTGAACTACAAAAATGTTTCGGAAAAAGACTGGCTCATTTAATACTAAAATGACAGTGGGAAGGCCTTCCATAAATAAATCTTTACAAAAATTCCTGCATCTTCCCACCATGCCAGTGTATAGCGTTTAGAGGTGATAAACTATCTACAATCACACAGGAAACTTCTTAATCTAAAGGAGATGGAATAACAGAGCATTCATTCCAAAACATTCTATTTTGTCTGGAAGACACTCTCATGGTTAGTTAGGAAGGCCAAGAAGCAGCTAGATAAATTATAATTTGGAAGATGGACTGATTGCTTCAGTTAGGGATAAAGTCTTCATTCCTGGAGTGATAAAGCAAGTCGCTGCCTCTCTATAGGAAAGATGAGTGATAATCTCTCAAAGCATAGTATGCATAAGATACCAGTTCACAATGAGAAAATACATCTAGAAAAACAGCTCTCCTCTAACCAAAGGACCTTGATACCTTTCACATACCAAAGCTTAAGCTTGGATACAGAACAGAATCATCAGAGATTAAGAAAGGGAAAAATTTTTTTCCAAGACAGTACAGACAGATAAGAAGTATTTTTATTGATTGATATGTAGCAATCCTTCAAGGTTAACATTTTAGAGAAAAATGTATTATGAGGATTTACATTCAGTTTTTAAATTTGTTATCAATTACAAGATTGGGCTTACCACTATGTTTCTCTCAACTATGTTCTACACCTGGTTTCATCTGATCTAGTTTATAATCTCCCCCTTAAACTAGCAGAGACATAAAACAGGCATACAGTTTCCATTCTGCCCAAAGTTGGAGATATGAAGAAACAGCAAATAACCTTAAATATTTTCTGAAATAAGAATGTTGAATTCATTCATTAAACAGCAAAAATGCTGATAAGAGTTTCTGGACTTTTTTGTGTGTGTGTGGCTACTGTAACTTAGAGTTATTTGCTTTTATTTCTAAGCTCCACTAACTATCCTGACTGAATAAGTATCTAAGCAGAACTCATATCATCTCATCCCTGGCTTCAGATTTCACTCACTCAAGTGAACACTAGAATATAGCAACGAAAACTTGAATTAAGCAGACTGCTAGAACTCTGGGGATAGGCTTGGCTTCTCAGGTTTACTACGATTTGTTCCAGAAAAAAAACTAAAGGAAGGTAGATAAAGAGAAAGAAATCAACATTATATATCTCTTGTCTCATACTGTGGACATAAGAAGCTAAAAAGAGTCTTTCTTCTGATGATTTTTACTACGTATAATGAAAAGTTAATTCTGCTAATTTTAACATATTATGGGACTCAAAAAATATTATTTTCTCAGGCAGTAATATAACCACTACTAAAAATTAATATTAAAACAGAATTTTTATTGAGTTACATTTTCCAACATTTTAAAAAAACACTTCATTCACAATGTGATTTGAAATGGCAGAAATACATCCAAGTGGGGTTCATGACTACAAGATCAACCCAAAATAAATGAATATGCTATTATAATGCTAGCAGTAAGATTTTATTATACTGTTCAGTAACAGAGAATACAAAAAATGTATTAGAATTTCTGTCAGGAGTCATTAATACTCAAACTGATATTGATGACTAAACTTGAGGAGCAGGACTAGTCGTTATATTATTGTATGAAGAAGCAACAGACAAAAGTAAAATGCAGAACAACTCAGGAACACAGCCAGAGAAATCATGATAATGAAAATGACTTACTTTCACATGGCTCTGGGCTCCAAGGTTGTAGATCTCTGTAGGCTTTACTTCATTAATGATCTTCACGAGGCAGGTACTGTCGGTGAGATCACCATAGTGCAACTTCATGTCTTTAGGATTCAAAAACATACCATGAGACAGAAGAAAACAACATAAGCCCAATTTTTAAAAATATCAAAATTTAAATGCATATTCTGAAAGTCTGAAAACCAGACTGGCTCTGGAGTAACAGAGCATAACTGTCATCTTTAAAGAAACTAAGTAGTAGAAAGATATTTGCATTTGTTGCTATGTCTATAAAGGATCTGTAAAAACTCAGGTGAACTTTTTAAAAAATCATATCATGACAGAGATTATACAATTAACATATCTTATGGCTCCCAGGTGGTTGTAAGATGTGTTACAATAAGAGTGAGATTCAGACAAAGAAAATCTTGCAATAATGTGTATACTCTCTAAAGAAATCTGTAACACATTGAAATAGCACAGATAGCTCTGTTCAGACACTTTTATCTAGGGATTTTTAAATACTTTATAAACATCAATCCGTAAGCCATCCATGAAATAACTGATGTAATGACATAATTGATTAAAGAACAACTAGCCTATTCTAACCCTAAATCTAAGCAGATCCTTACACTGACTTCATTAAGTATAAGAATTTGACACATGTAGATGAGCAATTTGCTAACTTGATCTTTTCATTATTTTTACATAATATTGATCTATGTCTAGATCCAATGGCAGTACCATTTACCATTCTGCACTTTGCACAAAAATGATAATAATTTTCAAGAAGGATGCACTGAATAACCTAAATATTAGGAAAGCCTTTACTGGAGACATCCTTCTGACGATGTCACTACCTACACAAGCAACCCAAACCTTCAAATATTCAGGGCTCTGAGGTGAATATAAAATACTTATGGTTTATAAGCTGACTGGATCATCCCTATTAGCTGGAAAAACTGGACAATTAAAGTAGGCTGAACTTAGAGTTAAAAACCCTGTGTCCTAGTCCCAGCTCTGTCTCTGTGGCTTTGATAAAGTCACAAGCTCTTTCTGCCTCCATTTCCTCATATGGTCTCATTTACAACCTCAGAAGCTACTGTAAAGATCAAATGAGAAAACACTGTGACTGTGCTATGTAAACTGTACAGCTACATACAGGCAATTTTATTAACAAAAATAATAAACAACTGCAAATACTGACAATGATCTCTAAATCAATTAAATATAGTTTTGATTGCCATCTGTTTTTGGACTTGTCTTCACAAATTATTTTAAAAATTAGTACAAAGATTGCTTAACTTGATAAATTAGATCAAAAGTAAAAAGCAAAGGAGGGCTCTGTGACTATGGAACTGATCTTACTTGAGGGATAGGGACACCTGCAGAAGGGTGATCAAAGGCATGTCTACTCTTGGTCTCTCCAGAGGCATCATCCGACCAATATCTTTGCAACAACCTAACCAAGATGACACTGTGCGGCCCAGGGGCAGCAAGCAATGAAGGGTTTTCATGAGTAAATAATTGCGACTGATGGGCTTTGAGAAAAATGACATCTGAAAATAACTTATCACAATATAAGAAGTTATAAAAAGAGATTTTAGAAAAAGAGAATTACTTACTTCCTTCAATATGAGCCTGGGGGTTCTTATACAGATGTTCAATTCGACCTGTATTGAATGAACTGGATCGCCGTACAATTCCATGGACCTGCATTTTTATTGTGTGGAAAGATAAGAATAAATTATAAATGTGCAATGAGGATTAATAAGTAACTCAGAAGTTCTTTCGCAAATGTTTAGCTTTGTAAAAAAAAATATGTAACTATTATTTATAAACATCATTTTTAAATTATTAGAAATAGTTTCACTGCTTACTTTCTCCCCAGCCACAGCCCACCAGCCACCAGCACCCTACTTCCCTCTTTCTCCAGTTTTCACTGCCAACTTCAACAAAAGTAATTAGATAATTATGTGACTTCACAGCAAATGCTTAGTTGTAGATAATCAAATGTCTCCCTTTCCAAACACACACACACTTACAGCCCTACTGCTGACAAAAATATCTCTTCAATTTGAAACTGAAGACAGATCATGTGAGGCCATATCCGTAGAACAGCCTCATGACCTCTTTAACACAGAGCATGAGGCCAAGAGACTCTGATGCCACTATATCTTTCCAGTGACCTCAGAGCTTTGCATCTTGCACCTATTATTTATTTATTTTATTTATATATATATATATCCACCTATTATTTATTTATTTTATACATAGATCCACAAATATAATCAGAGAGCCGTTGTTATTATACAGCTATGTGGAAAAGTAAGTCAGTCAAATAGCATAAGTTAGGGACAAGACTTACATACTACTAGATTTAAGACATGAAGAAAATTCAAATGAAGAGAGGATTTTGTTTTTAATTTTTATCTTTGACTTAACCATGATAAGTACAAGGGGAAAAAAAGTCGTTGGAACAAGAATGCATACCTGTCTGATACTGAAGAAAAGACTATTTGTGTCTGATACACAAGGGAAATTGTTCAAGACCAGGTCTTACTTCCTTCTTGTGTCAAGACTGCTCCCTTTGTGTTGCCAACGCTAATACCAACTTGTGTCACCAGCTGCCCAAGTTCCAGTTCTACTGGTGGCAGTTTTAATCCTTCACTTATTTTATTTAGAAGTGTTCCTTCTAATGTTGGGTAGTTTCATTTGCAGCTGAATACCTGTCTATATTTTAACTCAACCATTTTCTGTCTATTTCAAACCAAAATTAATCCTTGGCATGACTCAAATATTCCGAATGCAGGGGAGAAATTATAAGCACATAAGACTTTCTTTCAAATAGAAAGAAATGTCATCATCATTTTCTATGGCATACATGAGAAATTGACTTCTGCAAAGGATACAACACACCCACAATTAATAATTCTGTTGGTTAGTTGCTTTAGCCAAAGAGAAAAGCACTCATCCACACTATTTTCCAAAAGAACTAAACCTAAGAAAATTTTGTAAACAAATTTTGTAAACATGAAAATATTTTAAGAAGGGAACATCACAAACTTGACGGACACCTTAGGAAAAAAACAGTAAAACCTAGGAAATATTAAATTGAGATTTGGGTATACATATCCATTTCTTAATTTAGACATGGAGAAAATAACACTTAAATTAAGCTTAGAATTTATTAATTCATTGTCTCCAATTTTTCAAGTTGTTACTTAATTGTAAAGTTGAACTGCTGAACAAACAATAAATTTTGTTTAATAAAAAACAAGTTCATATATATACTTATACATAACAAAATTGGTATTTACCACCAAAGTTATTTCTGAAATATAGATTTCTAGGATGTAAGTAGAGCTTTATTTCACTGGATAGAGAGGAATTTATATGTTCTAAAAACAGATAATTTAACTTTGACAATAAAAAAATAACAATAATATAATCTAGTCTATTTTTTCTCTTGGTTGCTGTATTCTGGGTAAGTCACATACTCCAACAGCCCAAAAGAAAGAGAAATGCTATATACATACACATTGTATATAAACATAAAAAGCTCTGATAAAAACATTATATGACATTGATGGCTTCAGTATGAAAATCAGATAACTACACAAAGTCACATCAAATAAATAACATAGGACTTTATTGTCACACTTATAACCAAAAGCATTAAGCACTAGTTTTTTGTTGTTGTTGTTGTTTTTAATACCAAAAAAAATGTGTTTTAATTTCCCCTCACTCCCAACTTTTGGTATGTGTATACAGGGAAAGAAAGACGTGCCAAATGCTTAATCCGTGACAGCAAGTATTATTCTAAGAATGAATGAAAGCTGAGTCTGTCTGCTTCTGAGCAGAAATACAAACTCTAAGACAAGCCAAAATGTGTGCAAACTGGATAATCTAGTTAAGAATTTGAGATCAGTGACTTTCTCTTTACAGAAGGGATGTATGTATGGTTTTTTGTTTGTTTTTATGAGGATTTGGGGGGAAAAAGAGATGAGGAGTTAGGAAACCAAACTGAAAAGATAAATGAGCTGAATTTGAGTTCATATTAACTTAATAAAAAATCATTATTAAATCACAGCAGCTCAAAAACAAAATATAGTTCTGAAAAACTGAGGTCTTAAACAGAAGTGAGTATTTTGACAAACAAACTTCATATTCCATTTAACTAAATGATGAAAAGGAAAATTTCAAGTTCTCCCAACGTCAGAACAAAGTTGATGTGACTTCAAAACCTAGAGTCAGATTGGGCAATATAACAGAGAAATGCTTATTTATTTATTTCGGTCAAGAAAACAGAAAATTATTACCACTAGATTTCAAATTCTTCAAGTGTCTAGATTTCTCTTGGAGGCAAGGATGCCTCCCAGGAATGTTTAATGCCACTTGCCTTTTGAAAAGTATAGATTATGAAGGTAACCTCAATAGCTACCATGTACATGGCAGTGATCATGTGCCAGACACTTTTCTTTGTAGACATTAAATCATTTAGTCTGGGCTGGCCCCGTGGCTTAGTGGTTAAGTGCGCGCGCTCCGCTACTGGCGGCCTGGGTTCGGAACCCGGGCGTGCACTGATGCACCACTTCTCCGGCCATGCCGAGGCAGCGTCCTACATACAGCAACTAGAAGGATGTGCAACTATGACATACAGCTATCTACTGGGGCTTTAGGGAAAAAAAGGAGGAGGACTGGCAATAGATGTTAGCTCAGAGCCGGTCTTCCTCAGCAAAAAAAAAGAGGAGGATTGGCATGGATGTTAGCTCAGGGCTGATTTTCCTCACAAAAAAAAAAAAAAATCATTTAGTCTTCACAACAGCCTTCCTGTTATTACTCCCATTCTACAGATGAGGATGCTGCCTGAGACCATAAAGCTAGTAAGTGGTCATGTTAAAGGGTAGACATGTCCATCACGCCAACACTCAGTATGGTTTCAAAATGAAATCCATAAAAAGCTTTGCCTTTTTTCACCACGGCTTCTGGGATATCCAACAATCCAGAAAAAAATACGGTAAGGATTCTCACAGATCAAGAATGGAAGCATAGGAACTCTGTGTTCTAACAAATAATCTCCTAGAGATAACAACTGGACAATCCTTATATCTCATTTCTTTTCTGTTCTCCTGATACTCTCTGGTTAGAGTCCCTTTCCTGGAAGGAAACCCACAATTTACCTATTCTTTATGTTCAATTCTGATATGCTGTGTTGTAGTTGTTACCAAGTTATTTAATACAGATTTTTATATATTCCCGGATACAGCTTTTGAAGGGTTTAAAACTTTGTCTTTCAGTTTTCTGGTTTCTCTCTGTATTTTGTGCAACATCCTTCACTTTTTCACATTCAGAACATGATCAGATGTGTGGATTTCAGACCCACCGTTTCAGGAATCTAATGCGTGAGGTTATATGAGGTATTTAACCATAACTAATCAGTCTATTTAATATATGATATTCCTTTTCAAGTCATACGCAAATGTCTATTTTTGCTTTAAGGTTAGCCAAGCTTTTTGTAGCTCTTTATTTTGCTTTTTTCCCCTAAAGAAAAAGTAAAGGAGTATAACTAACTGCGCTATGATAACTCTATATGTATGGTTTGTTTTTGCCTATGCTGCCCCATCATCACTATCCAACCAACCTGTCTCTGCTCTTCGACTTGCTTCCCTCCAGTTGACTGTTGCTTCTCCATAGAGTCCATGCTTCCCCATCTTCATAATGAAAGGCTGACCTGGCCATTGCTAGCCAATTAACGTTTGCCCCTTTCTTTTCTATGAAGAACTTAGCCTCAATATCAAGCCTATTTACAGACTTTGTAGCTCTTCGTCCCAGCGTTTATTTGTTCCTGGCTTGTACTTTGCTACCCTAAAGCATATTGTTTCCAGTTATTTCTCAGCCTAGTGATATTCCTTATACAAAAACTAGATTCAAAATACCATGAGAGCTACAGAGAAGCAAGGCTTCATAAATTAATATATCTTAAGAAATGTTGTTCATCTTCACCTTATGACTAAATGATCTCATTTGAACCTTTAGCTGCAGTGGTTCTCAAACTGTGGTACCCAGGAAAGCAGCATCAGCAACAACTGGGGACTTGTTAGAAAGGCCAATTCCCAGACCTCTGAATCAGCCATCTGTGTCTTAAAGGGGCCTCTGGGTGATTCTGATGGACACTAAAGGTTGAAAACCCACTGAGTTAGAAGTCTATGCTCATCCAAAATTGCTGATATGGACCCTCTGGATTCAGGTGTGGACAGGTGTGTCCCCTTGTTATCCTACTGCATGCAATTTACTAACCCTGTTATTTTGCTCTTGGTATTAAGCAACCAGGGACATCTGGCCGATAATTCTGGAAATTTTCCAATGCAGCCTCTTTGAAAAATCACTCTCACATTTACTTTGACCTAAACACCAAAAAGATAAAGCCTGTGCCACCATTAGATTCTTCTTAATAGCTTATCCTCCAATTATATCAATCTATTAAAATTGAAGACAGTACAATAAACACCCTTTCACTTCTCCCATTCCTACAAAACTCACATTTCCCCTATACTATGTGGAGGAATCATTTCTGGTTATGCTTTGTAGCTCTGTACCTTCCACCTGTATTGTCTATAGTATTTCCTCCTATCAATTTATGGATCTCACTCCTAAACCTCTCTTCCCTTGCCAATCATTGTTTCAATGATTTATTCCTCCCATTAACTGGGAATTGCCAAGTGGGGCTTCTATTGTCTGTCTTTATCAGAACCAAATCTGCTCCTATAATTTCAAATGCCAATGGAATGAAAACATTTGTAGCTTACCTGGCAGCCCTGGGTTCTCATTACATTTATTTCTAAGTCTCTCATCCATTTAGGAACATTACTACCTATCATTTGAAGTCTGCTAGTTCCTTAACGAGCCACCTAAATGGAGCTTTGTTTCTCTGTGCATGTCTTCTCCCTAGCCTTTTCCAATAACACTAACAGCACCTGCCGACTCAGAATGTTTACCGTCTACCATATCCAGACTAAACCCAGGCTCTATCACTAGTCCACCACATTACCACAGAGACCACTCCACCTCAAGCTGTCATGCCTGCTTCCTTTTCCTCTGAACTAGCTATAGACACTACTTGTTGCCACCATCTTCATCTCAAGTCTTAGTCCCCTATGTCAACACTGGAAATAGATCCCAACATCTATGTAGTTCAAACATTCCTTCAGACATACCACCTCTATCTTCCACAACTGCAATGACTATGATGTGAGGGTTCAGGACATGCCACCTCAAATGCTACCTTGGCATACTGAATATTTTAAGCTGAAAGAGTTTGAGAAAATGGCAGAAGCAGGAAGGTCACTCTGACCTTGCCCGTGCCCTTCTCCCCTGAAGCAGTCATAAAACCCTCATGTGAGAGGTGCCCTCCCTATACCCAGAAGAAAGGAGCATCCTTAGCTCCGAAGACAAGGGAATGCTGAGAAGAATCCTAACATTAGACCTTGCTAATTTCCCCCAGTTTACTATACTTACCTCATACTTCTTGACCTATCATACTTCTCAACGACTGTCCACTCTCCGTCAAACCTAACATAAAAATACTCAGGCTTAACTGTTTCTCTGGATCTTCATTTCCTTATGAAGGCTCCTGTGTCACATAAAACTTGTATTAAATAAGTTTGTATGCTTTTCAGTTTAATTTTCAGACCCAGCCAGGGACCCTAAGAGGGTTGAGGAAAGCTTTTTCCTCCTCTACATTAAACTGACATAGACAGATTAACAAGAGAAACTTCTGTTGTTTTCTCAAACTCCTGCTATTCTTTCAAACTCCTTCTGCTGTTTTCTCAAACTCCTTCACCTTAAAATACTCAATATGCCAAGGTGCCATATTTTTGGGTAGCATGTCCTAAACTCCAACAACTGTTACTTAGTTAGCTCCTCTTTTTGCTTCACTCGGTACACACCCAAATCACTAACACCTCTCTAGCCACCAAACACCTCTTAGCAGTCCCAACATCTGAAACAAAGTATGTATGTCTCTCTGCTAAACCTTTTCTTTTAGATTTATTAAAGCATTAAGTTAATCTAGCCTGAATAAATATCAGTCTTTACCTAAAACCAACTCTTTTCTACTATATATGATCTACTCTAAAATTTTATACTCTGTAGAATATGTATTTATCACTCAATTATTATAGGAATCTATGTATATGAACATATGTGTACATGTATACTTTCATAATTACATTTGTCTTATTTTCATAATTACATTTGTCTTATTTTGATATTATTGTAAGATGCAGAACTAGCTATTAGATAAGGGTACAGAGGGTGCTGAACTAACATATCTGCTATTACGTCTTAAAGTCTAAAAGTAACAGCTGTCAGAAAAGATTATGAGTTATAGTAAGAAAATTAGCTTTTCTTCAAATTCTACTGGCATTGAAATGCCAGATTCCTTGCTGTTGTTCTTCCATTTGCCCACAGTGCACATTTTTTAAACAATGCACCTGCAATTAGAATAAACAGAGAATCCAAAATTACTAATATAAACACTTACAAATCAGGACAAAGCATATGAGTCACCGTGTAGGTTTTTGTTCCCTGCATAGCATGAATGTATACAGATGTATATATCTGAAAACTGTTCTTAAAAAAGGTAAAGTATACATACTAACCTACATCAAATTTAATATATAAAGCCTTTGCTTCTTTTAAGAAAAGCATAAAATGTTGAAGGAGAAGAAGGAGGAGAAAAGACGACGACGATGGCAACAGCAACAAACCCAGAAGTTTCAGTTTCCATAGAATAAATGCCTGCCTATTAGAAAGCAAAAATCTCTAAGTGTAAATTTTTCATTCAAGCTTGCCAAAGATCAGCTTAGTTTTTATTGCTCTGTGCAATTTCCGAATTAAGTGACTTCACTGGGAGTGAGACTTTTTTTATGTAACACGTTACATCATAAATTAACCCTAATAATGTTATAGCTTTTAGCTTACACAGGTTGCTGCTTTATCTGAGAAATGTAGGAAGCGTGCAAAGCAGTTAAACACTAAAGAACAGGGGGAAGCCACCAGTGCTCACCAGCAGATAAATAGCACAATGAGCTGGCATGGTTACAAGCCAAGAGGCACATTCTTCCCCTGATTTTGATTTGTTATCAGAGTTTCAGTGGAAAACATACACAGGAGGACGGCAGCAGAGGAAACAGGAGGCCACTGTGTCCAAGTGATTCCACTAGCCTGTGCTTGCTCACTGAGTCACTCACCTCGTAGCCTTTCTCCAGCAGGAACTCAGCCAAGTATGAACCATCCTGGGAAGAGAAGGAAAATTGACAAATGTCAGACCCATCACAGCTAGCGTAGAAGGCAGCCAAGACTAAGAATTTTGAGAAAAGCATTTAAGAGGCTATATGAACTTAAATTAAGGATCATGGCAGCCAAAATAAAAATAACACAGATAATGATGGTAAACACCAAATGGTGTTCCACTGTTCACTAAGCATTTTCATAGACATTATTTCATTTGAGCACCACAGAAGTGCAGTAAAATGTTATCACTGTCATATTCACAGAGAAAGAAACGGAAATCCATGGAAGTAATAGGAGGCAACAGAGAACAGGAAGCTTCAGAATCAGATGAATTTGGGTTTAGGTTTTGCCATTTACTAGCTGTTTAAAATATCCAAAATATGTGCAGCAAAGCACAGGGCCTTGGTGCTATAGGAACATAAAACAGGAATCTGATTAATTCTGGGGGATTATAAAAAAGGAATGGCTGGGGAGGGGAGCTATGCGGGCTGGGGGAGAGAGCACGGCAAGTGTAAGGAGGTGGCAGAGAACACTACAGTGTTGACATTACTGAAAAAAGACACCATGGTGGGGAGAAAGAAGGTGAGCACCTTTGGGGAGAGGACTTTCAGGCACTGCTGGGATTGGCTTCTAACCCAAGAGCTCTAGGAAGTCACTAAAGAAAGGGGTTACAGGGTTTTAAGGTAGGGGTAGGGAGTGATGGACATGATCAGATTTGTACTATTATCACTGAATATGTATGCACGTGTGTACACATACACACACGAATTTAAATAAAACAGATGTTTATTTTTTATAAAATAATAAGTACTTCATTTGTATGCATCTTAAATTGTGCAGTTAATCTCTACATTAAGATAAAGGTAGTCTGCCTAAATACAGAGATTCTCAATTGGTTTCTAATAATTCTTTTAAAAAGTTCTTGGTAAGGCTCTATTTAGACTAAAATACTTTCTGTGCCACTTTTAGGGAAAGAAAAGTATGAGAGTCATCTAATTAAACTATTATGAGGCCAAAAGGTGCAAAATCACTGTTCTAGAGGTACTATAAAAAGTCCTCAGCCTTGCTCAGAAAATGAATTGGGTAGACATTTTGCAATCAATCCCCTAACTGCTTTTAGCGCAGATAGGTCCCCTTCATCCCATCCAGACTTAAACATAAAAATGGGAGGCTCCCACTACTGGAAATTTGTTTTAAAAGTAGTTGGGAATATTTGGATTTTCTTTGGGATCCTCAGTTTGAAAAAGCTTAAAATAGCCCTTTGAGCTTTAAAAGTTCCTACTAGATAATCCAGGAAAAAGAAAAATGAAGCTGGCCTTATTATTATCATTACTTGACTTAAAGCTGGAATTGGAGACATCTTATGCATCCTAAAAAATGACAGGGCTATCAAGAGAGTGTTTACTATATTAATGTAGAAGTCATGCATAAATTAAGGCAGGGTGACAAGGAGAGGTATACAAGAGACACATTTTGCAGTTCATTAAAACCTCCAGTAGATTTTCTTCTGACTTCCTGACATAAATATTCTGGTTTTTAGGCCCATGTGGAGAAAGAAGAGAGATGGTTTGGCATATTCTTTTTCCTCTCAATCTTCAGATACACACACAATTGTGTGGTTTTTACATACCCAATTTGCAAACTAAATCAGATAAGAGGGCTGAACAATTCAGACCAGGGCAAGCCAGGTCAGTCTACATGACCATCGGAAATGTAAGAATAATCAGTAGTCTTATAAATCAATGAGAAAACAGCTTAATAGAAAAAGCTTTAACAAGAAGAAGAAGAATTTTACAGTAGGTTGGAAAGCCCTAAAAAGTATGTTTTGTCCTGTTTTTGGTGTTGGTGCTGTCATTTTGAAGCAGGCAACACTATACTTTTCACATTTTATAATTTCTCTTGGAATAAAAAGTTACAATGCTTTGTGTTCTACCATGTTGCATAGAATATTGGGGAAAAAAAAAAGGCAGAGGTGAAAGTGCTAGAAATCCATGGGGGCAGGAAGAGCTGTGATTATTTAGAAAGCTGATGTGAAACAGACCTGACCAGGACTGAACTCTGTCAATAAGGTCTTGTTCTTCTCACCCAGGCTGCTTCTCAAACTTTCCAACCACACTGGAACATTCTGAACCAGCAGTGGCACTCACTTCCTCCTCATTTCCTTGCCAGGTCTCTCAAGTGATAGGGCCCATGCTGCACAATGAGTGGGAAATGGACCAGAGTGAGGGCTCCTGGTCTCTGGCCCAGGGAACCCAGCTGGCCTCTTTTCGTCCTCTCCCCAGGCCCCTGAGGGGACTCCGCGGGGAGACATGATATCTAAGCAGGCAGGCGTCTGCCAAGCCAGCGGATGGTTGTTTCTGCTGAGAAGAACAGGGCAGTTAGAGAATGCTTCAATCAGACTAATGACTGAAACGTCATGGCAACTGAGAGCTGAAACCAACACTAAATCCTGACACTTAACTCCTCGGAAACCAAGGAACGCTAATGGACTCAATTTCCAACTCATTCGCTATGAACACAATCAATCCGGTACAATTCCAGCCTGGGTTCAACCCTTGTTACGGAAAACTTTTTAGTTGGAGAGATAATGTCCCAATTGTGACTCTTTTAAATTTAATTTTGCACATGGTTATTAAGAGTATCCATTTCATATTAAATGCTGTACAGTTTTAAGTAATCACCATGGCTTTAACAATTTCAAGACACAGAAATGTTTTCTATCTTATTCTTGCAAAAACTCTGCCTAGAAGGCAAGCAATCATTTGGCATCTGAGGTAACTGAGGCACATGGGGGTTAGCCAACTTGGCTAACATCACACTACTAGAGGTGAAGCCAGGACTAGAATCCAAATCTCCCATTACTCTGACCTAGGAAACAACCTCCTTCCTCATCCTCCTCTGCCTGGGACCTACCAAAACGTGTCAAATCCCAACAAAATAGTAAAAGACCATAATGGATTCATTTTTAAACCAAAATGATTTGGTCATTTTCCATTACAGGGCATTTTATGGATTAAACAGTACTCCTAGTTTTAATCAAGTGGCCTAAACCCAGAGAGGCACGTAATTTTAGAACACTCCAGAGCCCAGAGGAGGGAGACAGAACACAGAGCCTGAGATTTCCCAGGTCTCGTTAAGCACAGGCACTACTCGGGAAGCAGTACAGTGTTGTTTGGAGGTGGACTTGGATTGCTTATTTTAGACCGTGGGGCCAAGGTCTCAAAGGGCCAGATTCAGGTGTGCCTATACTTGGGTATCTCTGTTCTTCACCTTTCACGAACTACTCAGAAATGTTCCAGATAAATGTTTATCCATAAAAATTAAGAGTAATTGCAGAAATTAATGATATCTTGACTATAGTATGAAAATTACCTAAAACTTCACGTCTATGAAAAGCTGAAGGAAGGGCAGAAAGTTTTCCCGTTCTCCAAATGGCCACAAAAGGCTGAGATAGGCACTGACCGACCCTCATATCCACCCCACGTCCAAACACATATGTGTGGGGCAGTCTACCTTCCTGCAGAGAAGAGAGACTACCATTCCTCTTCTCTCTTCAAACATAGATGCACTTATAGCCCAGAAGGACAAATGAAAAGGACACTTTCTTAAATGCAATTTGAGAACCTGGTCCCTCGGAACTGCATGCTAAATCCTACTGTATGTTTCTGCCTAAGCACTGTTTGGCAGCTTCTTTGAACACAATAAGATTAGCAGTATTGGGCTAAAGAAATTATGCCACTAATAAAATGAATTTCTTTGTTTAGATCATCTCAAGCATCAGGAAATAGAATACTCCGTCTATAAGAAGAGAAAGCACTGTTACACTGCCTTTTATGCTCTTTAACTCTACATATTCTAATTACTCCAAAATAAGCATCTTTTCAGCTAATTGCAATTACAATATCAAAGTAATCTGTACCTCCAGTAAGTAAAATACCAACACCTCCATGATTAACAGAGGATGCTGTTGTAACTTAGAGTGAAAATTTCCAATGGGAAGATTAGCCACTACAGTGTGAAGAATACAAAGGCAGAATATATTCGAAAAGTATTTTAATCTGGCTCACTTTGTAACACAAATCACTGGATAAAATCTCTGTCAGACTCACAGAATTCAAAATACCATAGGGATTAATTAATCCAACTCTTCGATTTTACAGATCAAGAAACTGAGATTCAAAACAGTCAAATGTTTAACTTATAGTCACACAGTTAGGAAGTAGCAGAACCTGCACCAAAAAAAGAGTCTCTGGACTCCCAGACCTCAGGATTTTTCACTAAAAAGTACTGCAAAAAGATCCAAAATGAAGAGACTGGACTAATGTCTACAGTTGAGAACCAAGTAAGAAACACCAAGGCATCACCAGAGTGAAGAACAAGAATACAGACAAAAACTATCAGTAGAGTGATAATTAACTGAACTGACTAGTAGATAGGAAATGAGGACACCATCAACATTTAAAACATCAAAATTTTTATAACTCCCATCTCCTGTAGTCTTTAAAGTTGGAAGTTATTTTCCCATTAAAGGTGCCGTCACCAAAAAACTGACTTTCACTTCCTTTGATGTACCTCCTGGTACAGAGGAGCACAGTAACCCAGAAACTTTATCAACAAACTCTGAATAATAAAGAATTGATTATGCCCAGTGGTGAAGATATTCTTTCCATAACCACCCTCATCCTTCTGACCATTTTCTAGGGAAGAGCCCTTCAAGCAGGTGCTTAGCAGTTGCCCATACACCTCATACATACACATCAAGAAGTGACAGTGGCTCTGCTGTCAAACACAAGACCTTCTAGTAAACAGCGACGAGCTGGAAGGTTAAAAGCAACGTTTTAAGGGGCCGGCCCGGTGGCGCAAGTGGTTAAGTGTGTGCGCTCCGCTGCGGCGGCCCAGGGTTCGTGGGTTCGGATCCCAGGCGCACACTGAGACACTGCTTGTCAAGCCATGCTGTGGCGGCGTCCCACATAAAGGAGAGGAAGATAGGCACGGATGTTAGCTCAGGGCCAATCTTCCTCAGCAAAAAAGAGGAAGACTGGTATCGGATGTTAGCTCAGGGCCAATCTTCCTCACACACACAAAAAAACATTTTAGAAAGAGGTCAGATACCTCCAGTCATCCTATGTATTAGTTGACCATTACCCTGAATTCTTTCCCCCTAAACATGCTCCATTTCAAAAAATTGTAATAAGAGGCCAGATACCTCCAGTCATCCTATGTATTGGTCGACCATTACCCTGAATTCTTTCCCCCTAAACATGCTCAATTTCAAAAGATTGTAATGTTAAGTCTGTGTCCATAATAAATTAAAAAACAAAAGATTTACATACGAAAAAATATTAGGGAAGAAATGATCTAAAAGATTAATTTTAGAAAACATCTTTTTCCAATTTGATAGGTTTAAAAATGATGGGCTTTTCTTTTCATTTTTTGATTAAGATTGAAAAGTTTTTGTGTTTTTAACTATATACTGTTTCTTCTGGGAATTATTTATTCTTATCTTTTCTATTTTTTATACATTTCTCTAGTAGATTGTATTTTGCCAACTGGTTTGTTCTTATAAGCATCTAGAACATGTATAAAATTTACTGATTTTTATCTCCAATAAAAGCCACTCAAAAAATATTTTGAAACAGGTTAGCAGATTCTTTTTTTTTTTTTTTTTTT